TCTACAACCTAACCATTGGGTATTCCAATATCATGTTCCATTTGGAAGTTACAGCTGGCAAAGTTAAACAGTATAAAGCTGAAATTTCTTAATTCGAAACAACAAACTTTAGTGTCATGTTTTTCCTCCTTCCATTCGAATTGCTATTATATTTTGAATAAATGCTAAAAAGATCATGTTAGTATTCATGAATGGTGGAGATTTAAAAGCAAAGCCATTGAAAAAAATCTATTCATCTTTAACAGTAAAGATCTAGAAAATATTGATTTCCAAGTCAGTTTAGTATAAAGTCAATCATGTCTAATTTCATCTTTGGATCATTCTGGATTTTTGATATATTATGCAAGACTCCATGTTCTATATTCTAATGATTGAATTTGAAAATATAATATACTGTTAATGACTTATTGGTTTTTAAATTTGTTGTTGGTTTCTACAAATTTTAGAAAATTTGATTAAATACATGTTTTGATGATTAGTTGAAATGAAATTGTGTAGGTGTGAGGGTTTATGAAAGATATAGTGGTATAATGTGTTTTTATTGTTAATATTGTTATGGATTGCATTGTTAAACATGTTTCATGATTCGGGTCAAGTGAGATTATGATGGAAATGAAGGAAAAACCTCGTGATATCTTATAGGAAAGCATTCAACCAAAGTGCAAAAAATTGGGATATGAAAATTGCATTGTATTCTTGTGTATTATGTATTCAAACATGTAAATGAGTTGATTAAGTTGGAATGTTAAGAAAATTTTGAAAGAAAATCCAAGGGAAATGAAATTGGATGTTTTGACCTGACCTAGAAATTTAAGAGGAATGGTTTTGAATGTGATATTGTATTGGATTGTTGATTTAAAACTTGAATTTCAATGTGATATAATGATCTTGACCAAGAATTTAAAAAGAATTCATGGAGGCCATTCGACCAAAATAAATTGTAGGGGAAGGAATAGAAAATTGTATAGGGATTTTTGTATAATAATGGTTTACATGTGCAAATGAATGAGTTTAGATTACATTTAGAAGAAAAAGGTTAACATGAACACATGGTTCCTATTGGTATAGTTTCTTTCATATTGGGATAATGGTAGAAAAATAGATTTTTGTATGGATTGTTGTTTTGGATTATTATTAAAACTTAATTTTGAACATTTTAAAATAATTCTGGAATGAAGAAAGATTAAATAAATATCTTACATCTTATTTGTTTATTCTCAATAAAAAGCATACACTACTAAAAGAAAAGAATGAATATAAGTCATTTTATAAAGTAAATTTAGGCTAACAATCAATATTATATGGTGATCTAACATGTGTAAAAAAAAAAAGAGTTAAATAGATTTTGTTTTGGATTATTATTAAAACTTAATTTTGAACATTTTAAAATAATTCTGGAATGAAGAAAGATTAAATAAATATCTTAGATCTTATTTGTTTATTCTCAATAAAAAGCATACACTACTAAAAGAAAAGAATGAATATAAGTCATTTTATAAAGTAAATTTAGGCTAACAATCAATATTATAGGGTGATCTAACATGTGTAAAAAAAAAAGAGTTGAATAGATTAAAGTGCTATATGAAAAAGGTATATTAAAATGAGGAGATTAACAGGTGTGTGTGTGTTGACTAAAATTAGTTTTGTGTGTGCGAAAGTGCTATATGAAAAAGGTATATTAAAGTGAGGAGATTAACAGGTGTGTGTGTGTGTGTGTTGACTAAAAGTAGTTTTTTTTGTGTGTGTGTGTGTGTGTTAATTGAAGTGTTTAAATACATGATCGTGTGTTATTGCATGAATAAAAAAATGTATCTTAAGTAAATGATAGATTGAGTTTTTTTATAAATGATGAGAGCATTTGAAAGTATGAATATGTATTGCATGCTGTAAGTTTACCTTGTTGTTTATTCATAAACATAAGTTAAATAGGAGCTGGAATATGGTTCCTAGATTGATTTGGTATATTGATAATGGTTTAAAACTTATGTTGATATAAGAGATATTTTTGGAGCTGGATAACATGCTAGTGAAAGAGGATATATACACGTTGCAGGTAAGTGTTTTTCACCTTTGCTAATTATAAGAAGTTTCTGAAATTATATAAGTATAATTTCTTTAAATGCATAGTAATTATTTATTATTTGTGATATGGACATCAAAAAGGATGAAATCAAACTAGTTAGTCTTAATAGGCTAATGGTATTTGTGTTCAGATAACCAGGACAATTTATGAGACTAGTTGACTAGAAGCGGCTAGTGACATCAGTTTGTCTAATTGTCGGGATATTAAACATGTCTTAAAGATTAAAGAATATACATAAATTATATTAAAAATGATGAAATTAAAATTGTTATTAGTTTTGATATAATGAATTTAACAATCATGTATATGTTTTATTTATAAAATTATTGTGATGCATTTTAATATGATAAAATGATTTAATTGTTTTTCATTATGTTTGTTGTTAATATAGAATTGATTTGAAAGTTGAAAAATTGGTAACAGATAAATGACAATGAGGCAGTCATAAAGTTACCATGGTGTTATGTGAGAATAGGGTCTAGAATGATTAGATCAAGATTGTACGGTGATTTATGCATGTAAATTTTAAATACCCTAAACTTGGAAATGACCTATTTTAAAGAAAAAATTTGTTTAGATGGCACCATATTAAAGAAGGAAGATTTAAAAAATGATGAGTCCCTGGAAAAAAAAATCTATGACTAAATATCTAATCATAAAAAATAGTAAATATAGACCCATAAGAATTTCCAAATTCAAGAATAAGGGGTATTAGTTCATTACTAACATCATCAACAACCTTTATTATCACTTTCAGGACTAACTTCTCATCATCTTCATTGTTATTAGGATTAGAATAGTGAAATCTATGTTAATCAGTGAATGGATTGTCAAACATAGTATTATCTATCTTTTATATCAAATCCCCTTACAATCAATTATTTTTCTCTTTGTTAACTGACTTTGAAGGATTGGCAAATTGTAATGCACTTATACATATTCGACTAAAAGTTAGGACAAATAAAGAAATTAATTAATTACTCATATACAATATCATTATGTTCAATCTATTTTAGATGAAATAATCAATCATTGTCTTAAGACTTCCATCACATATAATCATTACATAATAATATTGATGTTTATTAATTAACACCTCCAAGTTATTTCAATATTAATATCATTATAATTTTACCCAAGTCTATAACAAATAGTTTTTTTTTATGCATTTGACATGCATAAATTACCATTTAATAGTATGTGATATTATTGTTCACATCAAGAATAATAATGCTACTGTAATGACGTAATATAAATATGTTATAAGATATTATGTAAAATAAATCAAATTCTGATCAATTGAACATAACTTTAACTAAATTATATTATTTCAACTCTAATTTCTAAAATTCATAACAAGTTAAAACAAATTCCCAAAATTTAATGCAATGTATACTTCACCAAAATTAAACATAATTCATGATATCAATTCTAATTGATATTTTCATGCTCAATTATATAAAATCAAATCTAAATTCATAACAAATTTAAACAATTCAAAAAAATTATCAAATTCAACAACTTATCCATAATTCAATGCAATGTGTAATTCATCAGAACTCTACTTCATTCATGCTTTATTGCATGAAACCATCAAGTGTAATTGATAGTTGATTCCAACCAATTTACATAAAATTTTTAATTCAACAACTTATTCAAAATTCAAAGCAACAATTGAAATAATTAATTCCTCATTAATTGATGTTATTTTCATGTTTAACTATTACAAATCAATTATAATTGATGAGATTCATAGCTAATTTATCATTAATTCAATAAATTCTAAATTCAACCTCAACTCTAAATCATAATTTTATTTTAACTAAACCAAACACAAATTAAATATAAAACCCATATATATAATAAAAATGCAGTATGCTGTTAATTCAGTCATATTTCCATCAGAACACTACCCTACCTTATCTTCTGGATCAGGGAACTAGGAATTGGAAAATGCAACATTATGTGTTGTTGAAGTTCGATATCGTTCTTTGCATTAATATGGGATATAAACAAATTTGACTTGATGAAATGTGAGCAAGATATCATGCTGGATGTTGCCAGTTTTCAATTTGATGGCTTATTTCTGGTTCAATGTCTGATAAACATGAATGATAAACTTGAAGTGTAATGCAACGATAATCGAGCATGTTGCTGAATTAACTGAGCGCCTTGAGGTGAAGCAACGAAGGCAGCGCCTTTGAAACTATTCCAGAATTTTGCAGTCTCGTTCCGAAAAAATAATCTTTCCAGGACTAAGCCTTTGGATTTCTAGTATTGCATTTCAAAAAATTCTCTGAATAAATGAATGCATTGCTAAGATTCAGATTTCTTATTACTTTCATGAATATGGCGATATTTTTTTCTGTTTTCAGAATCATGGTCAAATTATTTGTGGAACTCACCAAAAAATTAAAAAAAAAAAAACATAGTAGGCTGACTAGGCGTGGAACTCACCAAAAAATTAAAAAAAAACATAGTAGGCTGACTAGTCATGGCCTGAGATCGAAAGGAGAAAGACTATATCTTGGCGAAGGGATGAGGCCCAATTGAAACACATAGGCCGCCCTCTTCATTGGATGAGGCCCAATTGAAACACATAGGCCCTCTTCACTCACTTCAAGCAGATTTCTGCGAATGATCTCGATCTGTAACAAGACTGTAATTTGGATAAAATCCTTGTTTCTAGCTTCTTCATCGTACAAATTCATTTCTCATAATATACATAAATCATCGGTACTATTCCTTTCCTACATGAAGAAACAGGAAGAAAAAGAAAAATTTTATGCCCCCTCCTTAATATTTGCACTCTTAGAATAGACCATCATGAACCATGACCAACCTCCTATTCGATCAGCCAAATTTCTGGTTTGCACGCTGCTACATAACCACCAGAAGAAGTTTTTGGAGTGAAACATTATTCTATTTTAGATTGTTTTATCTGATTCTCATAATCTGAACATTGATCAGCAGTGCTAGAAGGCATTTGCAGGCAGTTTGATGTGGTCTCTGCCTGTGGCTGTTGCAACATTGATGTAAAGCTCGGACCTGCAATATTCTCTTGCTGACAAGAGAAGTTTATATGTTCTTGTTATCAAATAGCCACTAGACTATATGATGCTTAAATATCACATAGTATTTTAACGATGCCCAAAGAGGGAGAAACCTTTACAGCAGAGAATGAGGTTGGAGGCATGAAGGCAGAGAGGAGCTCAGTTGATGACAATGACGAGAAAGCTTGGTACCAAGATGGGAAGACCTCACTGTTTGAGTTGTTGATATTGCTTCCTTCCATGTTGTTGCAATGATTTGCATTTACGTTATTAGTCGCATGAGACAATGCATCAAAAAGTGTCATGGAGGATTGGTTGCTGAAAAAAAAAAGCCCAAAAATGTTCCATCAAGAGCATAAATCATACAAATTTCCCATCTTCCTTGTACAAGATTTTCAGGCTTTATTTACCTCACAGGAACACAAGACGATTGATCAGATCCTACGCGAACAGAGCTGGGGTTGTTTCCATTTTCAGGCAACCAACTTACAATATCATTTTCGAAGTCTGGCATCCCCCCGTTTGTATCTAAGAACATCTTCAAATTCAAAGATGAAATGGAACAAGTTTTATTTCCTTAATTAGTCCTAAAACTAATCAGTCAAGTAAAATTCAAGATTGATGCCAATTACAAATCAAAGCACAGTCGATTACCTGCATACTCGAAGGGTCATAAGTAGATACAGCCGGGTTACTCAAGATGCATTTCTGCAGCAAAATTAGAATTAAAATGGATATTAGCATTTTGGAACATTACACTTGATCATGTAATTTCAAGAGAGAAAAAACAAGTAACCTTTCTCTCTTCAAGACGTGCCATGGTATCCAAAAGAGTCTTCTCACATGATTCAAGCTCCATCATTGATGTAATTTTTAGAGGATCAGGCTCGTATAACCTTTCAATCAGTTATCCAACAAAGAAGAAATAATTAGAGTTCTATATGACAACAAAAGTGAAAAGGTTTTGTTGTTGTAATTTTCTAACCTTAACTGCTCCTCGGCCATGTAAAGTTGATGTTGCAGATTACGAGCTTCTAGCTGGATTTCCTTAATTTGCACAAGAAAAAGAAAATCCATCAGTGCGCTCCATGTGTGGAAGGAAAAGAAAATCCCAAATCCATGAGAAGATCAAGGGAAAAAATAAACACAAGTAGCTGTTCTATTTACCTCCATATTTAAATTCATAGCATGATCAGGACTGCAAGACAAAACGAAATAATTAGAGAAATTTTGTATTAATGGGAGCACAATGAATTAATTAAAATTGAATTGAGAAAGAGAATCCTGCTTTGCAGCTTGAAGAGCCATATCATTCTCAGTCTTGAGCTTCCTCAGGATATTGAGCAAATACTGCAATTAGATACGGGGATAAACAAAAGTGTAGGCTATACAAATTTATATGCCCTATTCAACCAAGACATAAAAAAAATTAATATAGTTTACCTCTCGATTTTGAATGCCGCAGCTGCAAAATACATGGAAAAAAACTGTTCATATAATGTTGCAATACAAAAACGAAGGAGAAATAACACATACCCATGAACAAAAACATGTAATTTGGTAACAACATACCTAAAATCTCGATCATGTTCTGACATATTTATGTAACGTGCAATCACATCTTCGAGTCTATATATAAAACAAAAAACAAAGAAGATTTACAAACATCAGGCTCCATGTGCGCACAAAAGAAAAAAAATGTCCATATAAAGAAATGAAAAATATGTATCATCAAGGGCAATGATGATCACCTCCTCTTGCCAGAAAAATGACTGAGACGACCAGATGGAGAGAACATAATGAGAGCAATATCAATGTCGCAAAGAATTGCAAGCTCATAAGCTTTCTTAATGAGTCCATTTCTACGTTTGGAGAATGTAACCTGCCGGTTTGTATTGTTCTCTATTCTCTTTATCTGGAGTTTGACACGGCCCATTTTCAATTTACATAAAATATGAAAAACAAGCAAGTCCCTGATCAGCTACGTATAAAGATGAAGGCAAGGTATATATTAACAGAAATCTGCTGATAACGCCCGTTCTCTTTTCTTCTACAGAAATGAGAATCCCACCAAGTTAGAGAGAGAGATGAATTAGGGGGTGTTTTCTTCTGTTAATGCATGGGCCTTGTTTGCTGGTTAAGGATGATTTTGACCATTTATGGTTAATAGGGAGTGCCCGAAAATTAAGTATTGATGTGGAAGAAGGGGTCGTAGTTTATTCACCTTGAAGAGTGGAATGGTTTGTTTTCGGAATCAAAACTAAGATTATTTATTATTTTCTTGGAGCAGGTTCTCTGAATGCTTCTCCAGACATAAACATAGGCAAATTGCCTTTCAATTTATACCTTTACCATCTTGTATAAATCTTTTTTCCATATTATTAATATTTGGCATTCAAATTGTAAGAAAGATTATAAAAAAATTATTTTTTTATTTATTCATGCATTAGTTTAATTTTCAATGATCTTCTTAAAATTCATTTAAGAAAAAAAAATTAGTTTCAGTGTATGAAAACTACCTGAATATTATATATTAAACAAAAAAAGTGTTTGCAAAAAAAATATTCACGGTAGTTTTTCTTATATATATAAGATGGATAGCAGCTAAAAGAATACTACATATATCACATATAGGAATAGTCATTTTTAATCTTTTTCTCACAAGAGCAAATTGGCCCACACAATTACGTTAAACCAAGTCTGAATATGTGTGATCGATCACTTTGATCCAAAATTTAAAAATGTCTTATAGTTGTAAATACAAGACTCTTCAAAATTAAAAAAGTAAAATGAAAAATAATAGTCATTTACTTGGTAATTAAAAAAAAATTAAGAACTCTAAAATAGATATTAGTCTCAAATATTCGGGTACTATGATAATTATACCTACAAAAAATTAATGTCACTCTTATCACATCATTTTTTATAAAATATTATTTATGTTATGTGTTTACTTCTAAATTTATTATATATGTCTTATTAATTTTCTGCATTATTTCTAAGCTTTTATATATTATTTTTAAAAGGACATTGAGGAGTCTTCGAGGGATTTGATACTAGAGATTTCACCTCTTTTGTAATTTTTAAAAAAACTTTAATGTTAATCCCTTAAAATAGAAGATTTTATGGACTTTGAAAAGTTTTGATATTAATCCCTAAAAACAGAAGATTTCATCGAATTTAAAATTTTTTATATTAATCCTTAAAAATAAGAGATTTTATTGATTTAGAAAAATTTTAATATTAATATCTAAAAATAGGAGATTTCATTGATTTAGGAGAATTTTGACTTTAATCCATAAAAATATAACATTTCATTGATTTTAGGATTTTAACAAAAAAAAAATCTCTAAAAAAAGGAGATTTTATTTATTTAAAATAATTTCAACTTTAATCACTAAAAATAGGAGATTCTGGTGATTAAAAAAAACTTTGACATTAATCCAAAAACTTAGGAAATTTTGTTTATTTAAGAAATTTTGATATTAATTATTAAAAATAGGGCATTCCATCGATTTAGAAGAATTTTGATGTTATACCTAAAAATAGAATATTTACTTTGATCTAATCCCTAAAAATAGAAAATTTCATCAATTTAGAAAAGTCTTGACATTGATCCCAAAAAGTAGAGAAATTCATTAATTTAGGAAAGTCTCGACATTAATCCCTAAAAATAGAATATTTTATTGATTTAGAAAAACTTTGACATTAATCCTTAAAAATAAGAGTTCATCATTATTCAAGTTTCTTTTTATTTATATATTAAGTATAAAGCTAAATGGTGTGGTGTTTTCACTATACATGAATTTACTATTCACCCTTTCATATTTTATTATGGATTACAATAGTATTATTTATAAAAAAATTTAATTTGATCCTTAAACTTTTTTAGCATAATTTAGCTCTTTTCAATCCAAATTAGAGTCTAATTGTATGTTTTTTCGAGGGTGAGTTGCAATGAAAGACGAGGGACTAAAATGCAAAACATGAGTAATAGAGGTGACGTGTGGAAATTTATTTGTGAAGTACATTTTTATACTCGATGTTTTTTTGCTATAAGGTGATTGGTCTTTTAAAGTTTGCAAACATTTATTTTGATATTTAACTTTATTTTCATCATTTTTCAATTCTTGATAGGTGAGAGAAGAGAGAGGAAGTTGTCAGAATTTAACTTAGAGAGAGAAAGACATCATTTCAATGATTTCAACCACCAAAACATTAGTTTTTTGTTCCAAATGGTTCCATATGATGAAGAGAGTTTGACTTCGGTGTTTTTTTTTCCCTTGAAAATGTCCAAAAATCCAAATTTAAGATTGAGAAGAAATTGGTTTTCAAGTTGATTATTGGTTTTGGACCGGTATTTTGTGCTTTTGAAGCTTAAAGATTGGTTTCACAACATTGTTAGGTTTTTTTCTAAATGTTTTGAGTTGAAAATGGATGGAAAACAAGTTTTTAGAGTGTATAAACCAGGTACTTTGATTTTTCAGCTACCAAAATAGTTGGAATCTATGTATGCTAGATGACGGCGTTATTTGTTACTAAAATATTGCCAAAGGTCTCCTCTCAAATTAGCCAAAAACCCAGAAAGTTAAGGTTGTTGAAGGTATCAAATGACACATCATTTCTTCCCTTTATTTAATTAGGATTTGCGAATTAACCAATGTTGTTTTGGGCTTTTCACTTTCGGTCTTGCAACTTCAAACTTTTTCTTATTTTAGTCATTGGCTTCATAAATTTTCAACTTCACCCTAGATTAGGCTTCTACCTTTAAAATTCTTTTCAATTTCACCTTTAATCCAACTTAATTTAATCCCTATATTTTGACATATTTTGCAATGTAGTCCTTGGTTCCTTAATTTATGTGGTTTTGACTAAATTGACTTTTAATCTCAATTTTGTCTTTAATCACACCCTTGATTAAATTAATAAGATTTTTTTCACCTTGGTGTCTTTTCACTTTAGTACTTAGTCTTTGATCTTTGGTCAAATTAAAAATAAAAATAAAACTCTAAGGAGACTTGGAGTTTCACGATACACATACAATGCTATGTTATTTTAGATTGCTAAAATGAAATTATTGTTTTGCTTTGGCCATAAAAAAACCTTAACACTAGCTAATTAGGATAGAACAATCTTTTTGCATGAACCATTGATCATTTTAATGTTGATTGGAGCATATAGGCCTTTATTTAGCATAGTATAATTATTAAATCACTCTTAAAAATAAGATTTAATTAGCTAGAGTCTAGGGGCATGTATTTTTACTTTTTCAAAGCATAAATTACGAAAATATCCTCAAAAGTCAAATTTCTTTAATTAGTATACAAAAGCTTTTTTGTCTTTTTGGCCTAATTGTTTTTGTTATTATCAAGTTGACTAAGGTGTGATTTGGTAAGTTAAATAAATATAAATATTATTAAAAAAAATAAAAGTAAATAGCGCATGCAATGCAAGAGTCAACGTGTGGGTATTACTTGTGTACTTTGAACGATAGGAGTGTTATCGCTCAACAGTCAAACACTAGCTTCCAAAATGATGTTAGAATCTCCTCGATAGCCTTTCTATGACAGAGCATGTAGTCAGCAGGCCTTCGATTTGACATTGACAGTCTTTTCTTTTGTTTTTTTTATTTTTTCTCTCTTGATTTTCAAGTCAAACTCTGTAATTTTTCAAATAAGCACTTAAATTTGTTTTTTCTTCGAATTTAGTTCTTATTTTTTATTATTTGTTTGTTTTTTTATTATTTTCTTGATTCATTTTATATTTTAATTTCATCCTTTGTTGTTTTATTTCATTTAATTTTTATATTAAATTTGGTTCTTATTCTTTTGATGCTATTTATTTTATGGATGATTGAGAATTTTGTTTTGTGATTTTTCTGGGTTTGTCTTCAATAGGGTAATCTAGTCTCATGATTTGGATCATGAGTTTTGAAAATTAGCTCAAATTGACTTTCGTCTTTGACATTAGGTTTTTTTAATTGATTTTTTTTAATTTTATTTTTTGATATTAGGTTATTAAACTTCCAACCTCGTGATTTTTTCAATTTCCTTCTATAGGGTTATATTGATCTTATTTTCGAGTGACGATTTATGAGTTAACTTAAGTTGACTAAGCTTTTTTATATTTTTTTAATTGTTTTCTCTTTAGTTTTGACTTTTATCACTTAGTTTACTTATTTAGTTTGCTTGAGAGGTAACCTTCATTGTTTTATTTAAATTTTTTTATAAACATTATCTTAACCTCACAACCGGGCTGCAAGTTTGGTATGCTGAGTGAAGTTAGGTTTTTTGTTCTTTTTTAAAATTGAATTTTTTTTCAATTCATTCTTCAACATTTGATTTGCTAGTAATTAATCTTTAAATTTTTTTATTTTTATCTTTATGATGTTATCTTGTTTTTGTTCAATCTCTTCTTCTTCTTCTTTTTTTTTTGGTTATCAAATAAGATTGTTGAGATATTTTAATAATATTTAATGATTTTTTTATAATATTGAAAAATATTTATTTTTCTTAATTAGTCATTTTCTTTTTCTTGTTTTCATTGTTGTTGGCTTTTTTATAATAATATTATTAAATTAATTAAGCTTATTTAATCTATTTAAATCAATAGCCCGGTTTCTAAGCTTTTTTTTCTTTTAAAAGTGCTATCATTATCTAAGAATACTTTTTTATGTACATCACAGACCATCTATATAATTAACTCTAAATGTCTTCTTTTTTTTTTCAATCAAGCCCTTGATTGAATTAATAAAACCTTCAAACTTTACCATTTCTCTTTAGTCTTTGTCTTTTAACTCATGCAAATTTATCCAATTTCAACTATTGTATTTAAATTTTTTACTCAAATTCCTAATTGTTCATCAAAATTATTGTTAACCTTTTATTTTTGTGTTGGCCCAGACCTTGATTTTTTAAAATTTATTATTATTTTTTTACACTTAAGTGTATTTTTTTTTGTGTTTTTTTTTTATTTTAATTGTTTTTAACAGCTGTCTTTTTTTCAAAAACATGTCCATTTCATCAGAAAAAATGTTTTGATGGGGAATTTTTTATTTTAAAATGAATAAAAAAATAAATTATAACAATAACAATAACACTAAGACTTGAGAGAAAAAGAGTAGATATGATATAAAAAAATGATGAGTAGAAAAAAGTTATTAAATTGAGGTTGATCAAAGATTATTTAATTGTTTTAATATTACAAATATCAATTAATTAGTTTTGCTAAACAGATAATTAAGTTATAATTAACTCAAAAAAATCATTAAGAATATATCTGAAAACAAACATGAACTTTAAACCCAGCAGCAAGTGCATCAATAATTAAGTCCAGGCCATCCAATCTCTAGCCCGTCAATAACAGAATCAATGAGGGCTCCTATCCATATCCAACGATCAAAATTCCTCCCCTCCAAAAGATTTCTACCCTCCAAACTTTAACCACTTTTTGAAAAACCATAACAGACTACATTACACACTGACCAAAACATGGCAGCACTCTCTGCTATAACATTCACAACCTCAGGAATTAAAAAACCCTCTTCAACACTAACATGCGCGCTTTCTCTTTCAAGCATACTTCTTCATTTTCTTGTCTTTCTTATTTGTCACATGAAATAATGCGGACCTCTGGTCCTCGTCACGATAAAGAAACAAATCTGTCTTTGAAGTCCGTTTCTAAGACAAAGAAGTGCATTCTTGATGTGGGTTTTGGGTCTTTTATCTGCTTCTGTTCTTGGTTTCTCACCAATGGATGCTGAAGCAACCAGAATTGAGTATTATGCTACTGTAGCAGACCCACCATGTGAAATTAACTCTTTTCCCTCTGCCCTTGGTTACTGTGATGTTCTGTAGGGTCAGGTGTGGTGGATGCCCAATATAATGAGCTCATCAATGTAAGTTTAACGATTTAGGAATTCTGCCAATTTCCTATCTTGGTTTTTTGTTTCCCTGAATTTTGCTTTATTGAAGTAAATATACCAAGCTTTAATTTCAAATTGACTAATTAATGATAGTTATTCAATATTTGTCTTGATTTGATTAAGTTTTTATCTGTTCTTGATTGGTTCTTTTATGTTTTTCTGGGCAATGATGATTGGAGAATTGGTTTTTTTTTTTTTTTTTTGTAATTCTGAGTCTTTCAAATTGAAGAAACTGTGAATTAAGTTGGATAAAGGACTAGACTTAATTGGAGTAATGAATTAACTTTATCATCTAAAGTGTAAGTTTGTTTGATTCATGATCTTCTTCAATTTCTCAAAAACAAATATTATGTTAGTCAGAAACAGCTATTTTTAAATGTGTCTACGGTCTCCGAGACCGGGAATCTTTGCGGCAGTCTCTTAACTTCTAACTTGTCATTATGATTAATGCTTGTTTTGTGGTAATGGATCTCTATTAGTTGTATTCTGGTCATGAAATGTTCCTTAAAAATTCAACTTGTTTTAGTACAAAATTGGAATATCTTTTTTTCTGTTAGCAAGGAGCTATCAATGATCTCACCGGAAAAACAACTTTTAATAGGTAGATGCCAAATACCATTGAAGCGTCACAATCTTTGTTTTTCTTCCTCTCCCTCGATACTGGTCCGTGACACTGCAAGATTTGCTGATGGTATAGTCTTGAAAAGAAGCTATAAACGCGACAGACCTCTCGCCATGTGCATTGGTGTTGGAAAGATGTGAAACTATTAGCTAGAATTATTAGTTTGGTTCAGTTTTCTTCTTAAACATACAAGTGGGAAGATTTTCTGTTGAACTCCTGATTTACAGCCGGTCATGTTTGAAGCTTCTATGACTAGGATCTAAACTACTGGCTACCATGTATTATTTGAGTCGCAACTCAAAGTGCTCATTAGAGATTTTGAATTACTTTTACTGCTCTTGTGTCTTCATTAACAGGTTACGTTATCTGCATTCTATGTTTGTTACTTATTATTCTTTGATTGGATTGCTGATGCTTTATTCCTTCTCAATCTAATCACGATTGTGGCCAGATCACCATTTTCCACAACGTCCTCATGTAAGGATAGACTAGAGTTTTCATGTGCACTGCTTAACAAAATATTTGATACTTCTCTGTCCTGGCATTTTCTGTGTATCCTTCTGTTGTAAATTGTAATGATTAAGGATATTGAAGAGCTAAATTGACTCTTCCATTAGGAGATCAATAATTTTAAGAAATCTGCAGCAACACCAATTGAAACTTGTATGTGACTCTTGTGATTTGTGATCTTTCCTTCATGAAGCAGTTCTACCATTGTTCACAGAAACAATAAAAAGCAGATGGCATAGTAATTGATGCTGTGTATAATTTCCTCACATATATCTACACTGGTCAACTTTATTTTACAAGGTTATTTATTTGTTGAGGTCATTGGGAGATTGGATCAGGGAATTCTAGGTGGTGAAGTGGTGCTCTCAATGCAAGAACCAAGAAGGTAAGATTTTGAAAACAACAGGAGTTCTATTGGTTTTTGTGTTGTGTATTCGTTCTTGTTTGACTGAAAGATTTGTCGAACTGCTGATTTTTCGCAGGTGGAAAACATAAGCTTCATATTCCTCCCCTGTTAGCATATGGACCAGAACCTGCAGGATGCTTCTCAGGTGATGTTGCCATATGAACAAAAAGAAACAACTTACAGTTTTTCTGAGGCCTGACTATCTGAAGTAAAACCTGTAGTGTTCACCAAATAGCTTTGACTAATTTAAATGTTCAATGATATGGAATGCATCCTCTTGCCTTTGAGTTCATGTGTGTATTGAATTTGCAATGTCGTTGTTTGGATTCTTTGTTTTATTATTTTCGATACAATGACTGATACTGTTGGTCATTATGGCCAATATCGTTTCTCACTTAGACTTTATTAAGCCCATTAATCCTGTACTGGATGTGTGATCTTACTCGTTATGCATCGTCGTCATGATCTTATATGCTAACTACAATGACTGTTTCTGTATAGCTAAAATTTTCAAATCAAAGCACTAGTGCGTTCGGTCAATATTTGCACATGTTACTTGGATACTAACAGCCGTGATATTGTGTACGCAGGTGATTGCAATATCCCTGGTAATTCAACTCTTCTATATGATATCAATTTTGTTCGAGTCCAGTCTAGGAATAGGAGTAACAAATAGATGAAAGTCAAGTGTAGTTCATCAAGTGAGTCTTCTCTTGTTTCTTGGAAATGATATCATTACACATTGTTGGATCAATGCTGGGATTGGAATCCTGCAACTACTTGGATTTCCAGAAGCAGCTCTTTTTGTATACAGACTCACGATTATGGGATCAAGAGCCATGGCTGGTCATGTATGGAAATTTACTTTTTGAAAGTGCATAGTAGAGCATATTCTTCCCATCTCCTCCTCGGCATATCATGATCTCTCCAATCTTGATAAACCCTTCTTTTTGGGATTTAGCAAAAACATAAAAAAGAGGATTATTCCCTGTTTGAGTGCCACAAAGTATTCAAATGTGGGGGACAATGGTTTGTGCACATAAAGTGATCAATTTTAAGAAATTAATGGTGCTCATTTACGCTTCCATTTTTCATTAAGAAGTTAAAGCTCTCTTTGAAATCTTAGATGACTGGTGGGGATGAGGTCACTGATGCTTCTGAAATACTATTTTCTGCTAGACAATGCATGCTTTAGTTGCAGGGGAAGATAACAAGATTGAATTCACTTGCTAGGTGCAGATGTTGGATAGATACTATTGAAATTGTGCAATAACCCTGACTTAGAAGGTTATTAAAATATAAAATACCCCACATATGAGAAGTATCATCCATCAGACTTTTCCTCAGGAATTCTCATGATATTTTTATATATATTTTCACTTCACCAACTATATTAGTACTTTTAGACGAAATGATTCTGCATATCAAGCTGCATAAGATATATACCAATGATGGCTCAAAAGTCTAATCAGCACTTACTGCATCAACATTAAGATCACTAGGAAGTAAATAGCTCAAGTGAATTTCAGCTCAACTCCTGTTGTAATGATATTCTTTCTTTCCAATGAATTTACCAAAAGGAGTGGTTAGAGAGATGAAGAGCAACTTCTGAGTATAAGTTCTTGACATTACTTATATTCACCTTTACTCAAAACATAAGCAGTGGTTTCTTCTAACTTACTCAACTGCGCTTGCTCTTGGAGGTGGGAATTGAACATCCTGATTGTTACGTAGCAACAAACAACATAAATTTAATAAGTTATTTTGGTTGGTATCTTTTGATTTTGAATTGTCTATGGTTGGTCCGTCATGTTTTTTTGTCTTGTTTCTTGTTATTAGCTGCAAGTATTTCATTCCTGTTAGGTTTTTCTCTGATCACTTCATAATCTGCTATAGATACTAATTTGTTCAATCATGCTAGCCTCATCTGAAAAACCACTTCAATTTACCAGCATGCAAGCTTTTATATGTGCTTTGACTTGGTCTGCTTTCAAAATCCCAAGGCAAAATAATGGAGGAGTGGACTAAACATAAAATATATGTAGGACATGGGTGGAAGTTGCTCCTTTTTGCTTTTTCCTTCTGTTATGAAGTGCTTTATCTTGGAATGGAATTGAGCGTGAGGGTGAGGGTGAGGGTGATTTTTTGGAAGCTGTGTGGGAAACTGCATTGCACATGAATCTCTATTTATAGGACTGATTTATGTCTTTACGCTTCTTTGAAACAGAGAAAGGTTGAAAGTAGAAAAGAGGGATTCTTTTTCTCAAATTTGGGTTTGAGTGGAAGTGCTTTTTTCTGGGAATTTCTTTCCTTGCCTTTTACCGGAACCAAATGGATTCGAAATCCTCGTGTTTTTAAAAATTAGCGCCAATGTCTTTTTCCCAAACCTTGGAGTTGGCGTTCTTGCTAGTTCAGCCAATGGTGGACTGGCCTAGACTAAATATGATTCTAGCTGAAAGCCTAAAATCTCACAAATTTAGCATATATATGAACCTCTTTAGGCATGGGATTGCTCTGGAGGCAAATGATAGGTACTTCAACTTGAGCTCTAGTCACCTAAGATCTCCAAGCATCCTTACTAAGTCACCTAAGATCTCCAAGCATCCTTACGAAGTCATGTGTATTGTAACTTTATCAAATTCATCGCCATGCACCCTCAAAGGAACAGCAACATCCTTGCATCACCTGCATCTTCACCCAGCATGCTGACTACAGCTGTTAACATTATTTCAGTCACAAAATGGAAAAAACCATAACATCATGAGCAAGAAAGTAAAATAAAGTTAGCTATTACTGCTCAGAGGTGCCTCACAACTACCCACAGTATTTCACCATCAAATACCTAATCCCGTGCTAAAGTCTAGGCCCATCAAAACAACTCACTGCAAAACTACAAAACATTGTTTTGGACCATTCAAAAGGTCCAAAAAGGGTGATACTCATCTACTCAATCTTATTACTGCATAATAAGAAAATCCCCCAAGAACAAATGAAAATTGAGATAAACTCTACATGGGAATTTTGCAGTGGTGTTTAAACCCCTGAGAAGGAGAAGCGGGTCGATGGGACATTTGGTAGACGTCTTAATTTCGGTTACATTACATGATAGAGCAAGCATTTGGGTTGTCGTCGCTGAACATGGAGGTGTAGGGGTCCTCATATCTAGTCACAGTGCCTATGGCGGCAGTGTTCTCTACTTTCCTGACATAACCAGGAGGTGCTCTCTTGTCATAAGCCTGGGCAGCGAAAGGTTGAGCCACTAAACTGTAAGGAACATATGGCCAAATCTCTGCCCTTTTCCCTGTTGACTTTGCCTTCTTCAAGACCTTATTTGAATCAACATATCCTGAAACAGTCACCCTTTGTTGTTTTCTGTTTATCTCCACCTTTTTTACACCTGCATAAATGACAAGGCAGCATTAATGTAGTCTAAAATGTACGTATATCAGTTTCTTTTCAACAGCAAATTGTTAAAAAATAATAATAAGAACGCAGCGGAGAAGAAACTGAGAGAGGTGGACAGGCAGGCAGGCACATACCACTCATTGAAGATAGGGCATTCTTGACCTTAAGTTCACAACCATCACAGTCCATCCTGACCTTGAGCTCTACAGTCTGCAACTGCTTCTTTTTGTGCTTATGGCCACCACTTCCCACCAAGTCAGATAAAAACTCCAAAGTGCCACTAACGCCCATTTTTTCAAGATATATATGGTTTATTAATGGTTCTAAAAAGGAACTTCTCAACAAGTACAAAGTCCAGAAGTCCAAAAGCAAGTTTTTGAGAGCTTGACAAAACGCAAAAAATCCCCAGAAAGCTGAATATTTCTATAGGAAACAAAGGTGAGGAAGAGAGATGGAAATTAGAAAAGAAAAAAGAGTTGTGTTTCTTGAATGAAAGAAACAAGTAATGTTTATTTAAACTAGCACCAAAAACATTTGAAGCGAGAGCTACACAAGAAGTTACAAGAAACTTCCTCACAAACAATGGATTCTTTTCTTGCCTTCTAACACGCAAAGAAAAGGGGGTTTTAAGGCTGTTCTCCTTCTTTACTTCCCTTGAGATTACACAGGCTTACTTATATAGGCCTTTTCCTGATCTGATTCAAACAGAGGAAACAAGGTCGTGGCCCCTCGTACAATAGTAAACAAATGCCAAAAGAATCAATTTTACTTAAAAATTTAAATATTTAAACGGTATTTTAAAAAATAATTTATATTATTTTTTAATATATTCTTTTAAATAAAAAAATTTTAAATTTTAATTTATATTATATTATATTTAATTTTTATCAAATAAATAAAAATTATAAGATTCAGACTTATAAAAATTATCTAATCATCAAAGTTTTAAAATAATATCAAAAAATAATAATTTAATTTTAAAATTTAAATTTTCAAATAAATTTTTAAAATATAATTTATATTATTTTATAACAAAAATTACTTTAACAATTTCTTTTAATGACATTATATCCTTCAAGAAACCTTTATGCAAAGGCTGCAAGAAAGAAAATGACAGATTTTGCGGCTTCGCCCTTGCATTTGTCAGTTATATCTCTATATTTGCTGTATATTGTCTCTTGCCTGCCTTGTAAATTACTGTTGCTTGCTACTTCTCTCGTCTTTTCTAATTTCCAATCTTGGAATTTGTGTATAAAAACATTTATTCTGACTAAATATATGATGTAAGAATGCACCTTTATAATTGTTCAAAAATAAAAGCTAGTGACAAGTAAGGAGTGTTTGAGAGTATAATAAAAATTATTTTTTAAAATATTTTTTATTTAAAAATATATTAAAATAATATTTAAAAAAACTATTTTTAATATTAACATACTAAAAAAATCCAAAAAATATAAAAAAATGATGAAATTGTGGTGTAGCAAACATACAATAAAACTAAACCATATATATATATATATATATATGTTATGGTATGAATTAAAAAAAAATTATTGAATTACCATCATGTCCACAAAATAAAAATGGAGGTAAGCACTATCAGGTGGCATAAAAGTATATTGACATTTATCAATAGGGATGGCAGTGAAAGAATCAAGATATCATAGGGACTTGAATGCAAGAACTCCTAAGAGCAAGAAAGGTGGTGTAAACAGCAGGGCTTGAAAGCTATGTTGTGAAAAGTAACCTTCTAAAAAAAGCCCTAACACGACCCCCTGCTTGCAGAGAATATTATTGACAAAAATATATATATATATATATATATATTCACTGATTCGTTATGTCAGTGGCTGTGATAGTGGTAAAGTTTGCTGTTTTAATATATTTTTTATTTAAAAATATATTTTTTATTTTTAAAATTTATTATTAACATTAATATATATTAAAAAACCCAAAAAGACTAAAAATAAAATTAATTTAAAACCAAAAAAAATAACTACGGAGCGCCAAACACCATCGATAAATGGCGTCTAAAAAACAGTAATAACAATGACATATATATCTAATCAAAATGAAAGTGAAAGTAGCTGGCACGTAGGATGGGGACAGCACCACACGTTTGAAAAGAAGAGCAGAGGGTCAGTGTGGTCGACACGTGGACGGTCGAGATGCAAAGGAAGGAGCAGGCCCCTTCTAAAGTAAAAGTACGGGGCTTGCTGTCTGTTCGTTCGTTGCCTCTTTAGTGAGTTTTTTTTTTTTTAATTTGGATTGGTTGGCTGGTTTTGATTGGTCAGAGGGCCCGCTAGAACAAACTTTTTTTAAATAATAGTAAAACTAAGTTAAAAAAAAAAAAACAATGGACGATGATCTTTATGTTTGACATGCGCATGATCAAAGGAAAAATGCTCCACAGAAAAAGGAGAGGAGAAGACAAACCATTCAAGAATATCTTTAATTTTGGTTTTTTAAAAATTATTTAGTTAAAATAAGTAAAA